GGAGGCGCTTAAAAAACCCCATACAATGTGATATATTTCGTATCATTCTTGGTTATTTACTACAATACAGGGGTAAAGAGAGAAATAGAAGGGTGAAGAGGCAAATATACCTTACTGCCATGAAAAAAATATTCTCTATAGACAACTGTCATAAAATGTATAAGTTGGATCTCCACGAAATCCTTGGAAATTAACGGAAATCGCCGGAAATCTTAAGGGAGAGTGTATATTTGATGAAATAAGGAAGGAAAGAGGGCGGAGGCGATGGAGGTGGGAGATTGAGAGAGGGTAGGAGGAAAGAGAGAGGGTGGCGGAAAAAGAAGGAAAATGGGAAGGGGAAAGAAGGAGGATGATGGGGAGAGAAGGGGGGAATAGGGGAGGGGTGGAGAGGCAAATATACCTTACTGCCACGAAAAAAATAATCTTTATAGACAACTGTCATAAAATGTATGAGTAAACAAATTACAAATAAATAATGAAATAGTCAAAAGTGTGTACGAAAACTTTACAAAGTGAAAATTTAACTCATTCAAAAATCCATCAAAGATCATACAGCAGGTTCGTTCCAACCAGCGTCAGAAACAGTTTCTGACAGTCAAAATTGTGCGCAGTAATGTGGTTGCGTTCCATAGTGAGTTTCCAACCATTAGTAAACTATCAGTTTTCTGTTCCATCCAAGATTCAAACCTGTTCGAAATCTATCATTAATCTGACGCATGCGTATTCCGTATCACTGTTTCTGTTTTATGTTCATGCAACTTGCAAACAACATAACCTGCAGAAATTGTTATAAAATTAATTATGTATTTGCTGGCGCAGGAAAAATTAGGAGATCTTTAAGTGAACCTAAAATATGAACATCTTTAATTACACAAATTAATTATTGCAGTGACCTACTTACCTCCCAGTTCCATGTTGATTAGTAAATAGAATAAAATACTGCAACCTTCTTTCACTCTCCAGAAATACACTTGATTAGATTTATTTTTAAAGGTAATGTTGAAATTCCATGCCAAAGTTCAGTTGAACTATCAGCTGTTCCAATCAGAAATTTCAAATTAATCAGAAACCAATATTTACCAGACATGCACGTTGATGATTTACAAACTGTTGGAAATCTGTTTGTGACTCAAGGTTGGAACGAACCTAGTATTAACCAAGATATGGAATTTTGTAAAAGTGTGGCAAGAATGTGTCTTTTCCTGAAGGCACTTCAAATCGATTTGAAGAAGGAAATAGGTTCTATATTGAATTTGTAAAGTTTATGAAAAAACCATCAAGAACCATCCAGCATTAACTGAGAAAACGCTTGATAAATATTGAGAAAGTTTAAGAAGACTTGGCAACGCCAGCTAAAAATAATACCCATACAATTTTCTTCAAAGTGTGGTATAAAAATCATAACATTCATTCAAATATTTCATATGCGTTTTTGTTCATTTTCGCCGATATTTGATACTGACAGTCAAGAAAGTTTGCCCAATTCCAATAGTTAGTTCCAATAATTTAATACAACCAAGTCTCCAATTTTCTATTCCAACAATCTATTACGACTCTTTTGGCCTTTGCAGCAAGAAGTGCTTTTTTCATATAAGTATGACTTCTAGTTATTCAATTTCATTTAGAAATTGAATATTTCATTACACATTTTTACTACTTTAGCAGAGCGTTATCTTCATATTTATTCGCGTACTCATTACATCACATTGCTACCATTCGTACTCAACCGAGGGGACAGAAACCAGAGCAAGTCTGGAGAGTGTGCTCCGACCTGATATGAATGCTATAGAGCTCACGCTGAATTTCTGAGGACTCTCAAAGCATCAACCAGAATACAGCTTTAAACAAATATAGGTAATGAACTTACCACTACTTGTCAGAATATAAGGTTGGGTTGGATGAACTATTATACATCTCACATAGTCGGAATGTGCCTCAAAGGAATGAATTCTATCTAAAGTGTTGTAATTGAATATTCTTATCTGCATATCATCAGATCCACTGACTATCCAGTTTTTACGGGGGACAAATTTTGCAGCTCTCACTGGCAGGTCACATACTTCGAAACTTTTTACTTGTTGTTGATTTTCATAATTCCAAACATTGATATTGCCACTATATAAAGAACATAACATCCATGGTTCAGATGGATGGAGGTCTACACATTTTACCCTGTCTGAACGGGCTGTTAACTTTCGTTTGATATCTAAACGAAGAGGCTAGAAACAAAATTAACATGACTCTCAATACAAAGTAGTTAATAATTTAATACTAACCATTTTACTTCCGATATTCTTAATAATACAAAAAATTTATAAACACATCAGCAAATATCAACCATCACAATCAGTGTTGCCGCAACTCTTTTAAAAATAAGTACTAGAAGGCGAAGGAAAAAAGCACTAGATCCAATCAAAAAGTGTTAAAAAAGCGAATCCCTGAATGTTTGATATGTTCAGCATGTACCAACCATTTCCCTTGCAGGTTTTCGTTAATTTCGAATATCAATTCAATGATGTTAACAAATAATTGCGTGTCAAGAGATGGACATCAAAGTGACAATCGACATGAAAATGTCAAGGCAATTAGTTTTGACGTTAGTAAAATTGACGTTTCACACACGTCACAAAAGTGGACTTCAATAAATTCACAGAACAGACACAAATCAGAATTTTCACAAGGTGATTTGTATTTGTCAAATTTGTCATTTGCATTTGTCAAATTTCATACCCTATGCGTGCCAAGTGAATAACCCATGCGCAAGCTTTTTAAGCGATTGCCAAAGTGCGCAAAAAATAGCATCAATGAAAATGTATATGTTATTTTTATATTTTTTAAACATATAATAATATCAAGTCATGAAATAATAGCTTTTTCCACATGGATGTTAGTAGAAACTTCTAAAACATTAAATGGATGAATATATTCGTCTTTAAAAGCGGAATCATTTAAGTCGATCATATTCTGCAGGAGATTTGATAACCTTGTTTAACAATCAAATCAGACCAAATTGACGTTTCAGGACAAACTGCGAGAGGTTATTAATGAACAATATACAGGGTACAGGGCGATGACCGTCGGTTAGACGTATTTTGGAAAATAATTGGAGTCATATCCTGAAAATTGGCGAATCAAGGTTTTCAATATGCATTATCGAATGAAAATAATGGCGTTTTCCCAACACTTCTGGTTGGATAATGTGAAAATAAAAAATGAATGATTCTAATATTAGTTTATGTAATACACTTTATACCAAAAATAAATCGATTTCGAGATATTGATTTATTTATTCAAAAAAGTAGGTATTCGGCTCTCAGGTTATTCCCCCATACAATTCAAAAGTTTGATAGAATACATGAATAAGCTGATATTGATTAATCAAAATATTTCATTCCATCGTTTTGTAGGAGTAAAATCAGCATCCGCAATACTCTTGGTTTATAACTGTGAATTTTGAGATCAGTTTTCGAAATTAATTGTGAATAGAAAATTTTGTAGCAAATTGGTTACAACCTAATGATCATTCCTATGTTGCAGTTCACAAAATCTTAATGTTAAATCATGTAAATAATACAAAACATCAATATAGTTGTTGAGAGTATTCACAATTTCACTTTATGTGCAACAAAATATTAGAACATTTCTGGTGATGAACAGAAGTTTCTATTGCTCTCACCACCTTTGGTGCTTAAAAGATTGTATCTAACGAAAACTCTTTTCACTAACGGAGTTAGCGAAACTTCTGATAAAAAACAGTGCTCCAGTTCTGATGAATGGGGAAAGGGTTTTCTTTAGATGCACTTCATGCTTAAAGTTCCAATGCTACCTATCAGGCTGAAATATTGTGGCAATTTTCCTCTATTAGGATGTTTTTCAATGAAATTAGCTGAAAAAAAGGTTTGGATATTAACTTGAGATTGTTTTAAGTTGAATTGGATATATACCTATTCCTTTGTGCAGTTTTATACTGTTAAATCTTGCATTTTGCATTAGCTAAAGTTGTTAGTGCTTCTGCTGCATCTAATTCTTCCCTACCATGTACATGGGGCAATGTATCCACTTTGGCAAATAAATCGTTGATTTTCTTCGTATTTTTCCTTCTGGTTGTATCCGAGACCCAATTCAGATAACTGTTCTCACTGGGTTTGAAATTAACTGCACTTTCTAGCCATTTTGAGATCATAGATGGTTTATTTTCCTCAATGATTCCAACATCATTAACTGGCTTTTCGAAACTATCAAAATATTTATCCCTGGAGTGATAGTCATTTATTTTTCGAGGTACAGGATATGTTTCCGTGTCGTTTCCTGTTGTTGAGCTTATAAAATAACATTGGTTCTGATTTTCATTAATATTATTGTTGAAACCGGGATTTTCATTGAAAAAAGTTTGCCCTAATTGGTTCTTCCTGTGATGCGAGACATCTGCTTTCTGATGGGATTCTTCAAAACAGTTCGAATTTTGTTCAGATTCCTCCCAGATACTGTTGTCCGAACATATACTGAAATGCTCTAAGTTACCCTGCACTTGGTTGTTGTATGTTTTTATTAAATTTCCCCAGGTTTTCTGTTCAGATCCTCTAACAGCATTCTTCAGTTTTCTTCGCCAGTTAGCGAACCAATTACAGACCTGTAACAAAACGACTGTTACAAAAAATACGAAAATACTTCCTTCTCTCATAGAATAGGAGTTCCAGCATTTCTGAAGTAACCCGTGGGTTGGGCTACCTATCGGGCGCGTCCCCAGGTGGTGGATAGGGGAACGGCCAGGGGACTGGAGGCCCTGTTCGGGAAGCTAATGTGGCCTTACAGACGGGATTGCCGGACTCCTGGTCAGTGGCAGAAATAAGTAGGGTGAGGGGGACTAAAACCCTCCAAAAGCCTTTGCAAAACATGCCGCCGTGGATCAGCTAAGGTGTAAGGAATCGTGCCGACAGCTGAATGGCCGCAGAATGAGAATAACACAGTTCACCACTCTCATTTTGCACCTGTGGAAGTTGGAGTTCCTCAGGGGAGTGTTCTTGCTCCAGCTCTATTGTCAATCTACATAGGAGACATTGTAAAATACCTGTCACATTTTAAATTAACGTTATATGCTGATGATCTTTCCATATTAGCATCACAAAAATCTCACGATCTCAATCAACAAGCTTGCAATGATCTCGTGGAAAAAATCATTCTATGGTTCTCCATTAATAGTCTTTATATCAATGCTAGCAAGACATCAAGTTTATTATGTATCACACAAAACAGGGAACGGCTGAAAAAATAGACATTCATTTAGGGGAAACGACTCTAGAGAAGTGCCACACCATTAAATTTCTAGGTGTAACTATGAGTGATACACTTGATTGGGAATCTCACATAAGTGAAACAATAAAAAAATTGAACAGTAAGCTTTACCAGGTCAGATGTCTTCAGAGAGTAATTAATATAAATGTTCTGAGAAATTATTATTTTGCGGAAATACAATCCTGAATTTTGGAATTTTGTTATGGGGCATGTCGTCTTCAGCACAAAAACTATTCCTAGTACAAACAAATGCATACGAGCAATGTTAAATAAAAATCAGAGAGAATCATGCAAACCTCTTTTTAAAAAATTCAATATACTCGAAGATTCTCACGGATAAAGTATGATGAGCTGTTTTCTCGGGTTTCGCTCTGCGTTCTGTGTATTTTGTCCCCATAAGGATTATAGTCACAACGTTTCGGCAAAGTCTCATTTGCCATCTTCTGGTGATGTCTGGTTTTTTCAACCAGACTGATTAGTTCGAACTCTGTGTCTCAATTTATAGGGATGGATGTTTCCCTTTACCTGCGTTGCTGCCATTACCTGTGTTTCTTTGACTACCTGTTTTGGTCTTATTACCTGGGCTGCCTCTCCTGCCTCTGTTATTGTACCTGTATTGTCATGTGCCGAGTTTTGCTTCTGGGGTTGAGCGGTCTGATTGCTTGTGCGAAGTGATAAAACGGATCTTCATGTTGATGCTAATCTTTGCGCATCATCCCTCTTGTTCATATTATTAGGTCGTTTTTCAATTTCGATATCCTCTCTGATTGTTCGCGAGTAAAAGTTTTTATTGCTTGCTAGTATTTTTGTATTATCGAAATTGATGTTATGTCCTGCCTGCAGTACGTGTTGGAAGAGATAAGACGTGGTCACTTTTCCCCTCACTGTTAGTTTGTGTTCATCTTTGCGTATGTTGATTCGTCTGTTGGTCTGGCCGATGTAAGTCCTGTTACAATCGTGGCATGGTACTTCATACACTCCTTGTGACTCCAGTGGTATCTGATCCTTGGGATTACGAAGCATAGACCTAATTGTCCGCTCTGGTACGAATGAAGTTGCTATGTTGTGTCGGCGCAGAATTCTGCTGATTTTATCTGTTGTTCCTGCAACATATGGTAGTGTGGTTGTTATGACCGGGGTATCTCGAGTTTTTTTGTTGTTCCCATGTGGTCTCGGAAGCCGCTTTTATGCTTTTTTCTGGGTAGTTATTCATTAGTAGAGTTGTTTCGATGGTGTTCAACTCTTGTTGTCTGTGATCGTTGTCTGCCAGCCTCCTCGAACGTGTAATCAGTGTTCTTGCCACCGAGTGAATTTGTTTTGGGTGGTGGTGTGAATTTGCGTTTAGGTACCTATTCGTGTGTGCTGGCTTTCGATATACCGTGTGGCCTAGTGTACCGTCCGGCTTCTTCATAATCAGCACATCGAGAAATGCGAGCTGGTTGCCTTCTTCAACTTATTTCGTAAATTCAATGCGTGGATGGATTTCATTCAAGTGATTTTTTTTCATTCAGGTTTTTTAATCAAAGCTCAGGTAATAAGACCAAAACAGGTAGTCAAGCAAACACAGGTAGTGGCAGGTAAAGGAAAACGCCCATCCAGCTCATCATCGTATATATATATTGGAAGTTTCCTGTTATATATACATAAAAACATAAACAAAATTCCCTGTCATAATGACATCCACAATTACGCAACAAGATTCAGTCATCATCTTTACACACCCCAAAATCAGTTAAATAAGGCCTGTATGGCCCTATTTCCAATGGAATTAGGGTTTACAATCACTTATTGACAAAAATCGATCAGGAGGTATCTTGCTTCAGATTCAGAAAAACGCTGAAAACATACTTTCTGGATAATTCGTATTATACAAAGGGCGAGTTATTATCTTCGTAGTGAACTCTCTTTGCTTCTTATACCATTTTGAAGTATAGTCTATCCATTCCCAATTGGAACGGCAATAAAAAGATGAGTACAGTCTTAAACATTTCTTGCCTGTGGCCCCTAGTCGCCCAGATAATTAGTAAACGTGCTATCAAATGTAGTTGAGGAGTAAAACTCGGCTAGCTGGACTGGCCGAATAATAATTTTTTGTCGTTTCACAATATTTCTCTATCAGTGCCGTGTGTTCGTGGGGTTAGGTGAGGTAGTGTGTGGTTTTGCAAACCGATTTTGAATACTTTTTCTAGAGATCAATTACTCTAACACCAAACTTATATTTTTGCACGCGACGCGCGTTTCGCTTATAAGGTTAGCATCTTCAGGAGAAGCAAATTGATACTGAATCTAAAGACAAGTATTAGCTGTTTATATACCTAAATATACAAATTAATTTGTCAACAATAGATATGGCTTTCTGGAGACCTTTCGAAACAAATGATAACATTACGTGTGAGGAATCTGTCAATAGACAGGGACTTATGATGCACTGTTTGGAACTTTTGGTGTAGTAATGAATATTACTGGAGTTTTTTCCCAACACCAAATCATTCTTTTTAACACCTCGACACGTGTTTCGATCACCAAGTGATCATCTTCTAAGAGGAATATTAAAACATCTTCCTCTTTGAAGATGATCACTTGGTGATCGAAACACGTGTCGAGGTGTT